CGGCCTCTCTCATCTTTTTAAGTGGGAGAACTTGCACTATTGGTGGCTGACTAAATACTTTTTTGCCCCACTGTATATATTTTTTTCCATTTATTGTCGTTACACTGTCACAAGTACAGAACAATGAAAGGAACTCTATGCATGTAACCCAGCACCGTGGGGAGCAATGTGCTGCCATTGTGCGGCGCTCGGGGAGCAGTGTGGGATTAAGTGGATACAAACCCAGGCTTCCTGTTTGCAGGATGGGTGACTTAGCACTTGAGCTAGCAAGCCGCTAATTCCAGTGCTTTCCTGAAGTCTATCAAGACCGGAAAAGAAAATCTAATAGCTTGTGTCAATTAGGCAGCAATTTTAGATGTTTTGTTGAAAAGATTTGAGTATATACATTGTAATTTGGGGGGGAAAAAATACCAAAACATTAATTCTTTATGGTTGCAAGTTTCCAGATGAACCAGTCTGCAGCTGAAAAGATGCAACAGAAAGGCGTATGGAAAGCAGATTAGTGTCTTCTTTCGATGCGTCTTCCCACCCACAGCCTGTTGCTTTTTCTGTGTTTATATTTGACATGGAGATGCTTCTGCAGGAGCTGCTGTGACTTGTGGATTGTTGAAATGTCAGGTGGAATAAATAGAAAACCACAGAGAAAGAAAAAAGTAGGCGTTTCAACTCAGATAGCAGTAATTGAGACTCTCGATGACAGACAGGAAAAGTAGCTCTAACATGATCTTGCCCTTAGTTTGGTGTCTCACACAGCTGAGCCACTTTAAACAGGCTGTTTTTATTTTCTTGCTTTTAGGAGGCACAGCGTCCAGACAGAGGGGTTTCCGAGGCTGTATCCGCTCTCTGCAGCTGAACGGAGTCACTCTGGACCTGGAGGAAAGGGCAGAGATCACGCCGGGGGTTCGACCCGGCTGCCCCGGTCACTGTAGCAGCTACGGATCCCTGTGCCAGAATCAGGGACGCTGTGTGGAGCGGGCCAAGGGCTTCAACTGTGACTGCAGCTTGTCTGCTTACACTGGAGTCTTCTGCCATACAGGTACGCAGTTAGACTGCTATGAACAAACATAGCTTAGCTCTGTAACTGGAGCTAAACTAAGTACAGAGAGCAGTAGAAAATGTGCTTTTTGACCTCAGGAAGCTAAAAAAAAAAAACACTATGCACAGGGCTATAAACTGCACAGACTGTATTCACTCTGCAGGAATGAGTGCTAAGAAAGTAATTTTTTTGTTTAGTTCAAGAATCTATGAAACAGCTCCAAAGCTTCAAGGCGCTGCCTAGAATTTTCTCTATAACCCTAAATGATTGTAAATTATATATAATTATATATAAGACTTTATGTTTTTAAAGTAGTTCGTTAATAGAAGTTGTTGCTTTTTTAATTTTTTAAATTAATTTCTATGCATTTTCATTTGATGATTTTCTTAGGTGTCAAACAATCCATTTAATAAACTTAATAATTCTTAATTATCTTTTTTTTTTAAAACAATTTTTATTGTAAAAATAAATTTTTATAAAACCCAAATTTGGAAATAAAACTTTTTTATTTTTTTTATTTTTTTATCTTAAAACAAAATACAATCTTAGTAAAATCCTTATAGAACATATAACAAGATCGTGTTATATCTTGGTTAGTCTACAGGTCTGTGCACTTCAAACAAAGGATAAAAATATTAGAAACCGACTTTAGAAGCAGGATTAACAGCCTACAACATTTCAAAGGCTCATTATTCATAAAGCTTTTACAGCAAAGTTTGACTGCCGGTTTATTCCAAAAAATATAAGAAAACAATCCACTGGACTTTGTTTCCAAGTTTGAAAGCGTTTCTCTTCCCATCCAGGAAGCTTTTTCAATTTAAAATGTCGGAAATAGCGTTGAGTTCAAGGCTTTATAGAGTGGACCAAAGCAAAGCCTTGTTTTGGCTTAGAAACATGCAAATTGAACCGGACGAACGGGATTCTTTAGGAATGGAGGTCATTTGGTTTCTTCTTTAGCCTGTATTACCCGATACTTGTCTATGTCTCTGAAAAGTGTGTCGTTAAAGGGAATTATTGGCCTGGCTGAAGAGGCGAGGTGCTCTGTTCCCCCTTAAGGGGCAGGGGGTTGAGATGATAGCGGGAAGGGATCAACTCAATCGCTGAACTATTTTTTAAAGCTGAAATCTGAGTCCAAGGTTGTTGTTTTTTTTCTTAACATAGATGGCTTCCTTCATGCACCTCAAACCACCTATCTTCTTTGTCCAAAATGTGAACATTCTGGTCCTCAAAAGAATGTCCTTTGTTCATAAGGTGTAGATGCACTCTGAATTTTGTTCTAACTGTCATGATTAACTAAAGATGAGACCCAAATGCAGAGAAACTGTTACAGAGAGACCAGGGGAAAAGGTTTAACAGGTTTTATTGAAGAGATAATGCAAAGAGCAGTGTTGCTCTTAACTCTGCTCAACCGGAACTGAAAAGTGAGGGGAAGACACAGCGATTAGTTCAGGCTCAGCGGGAAATTTCATGGCTTCATGAACTTGGAGAAGAGGATCAGGTTGCTGACTCACGTTTCAGGGTTTACCCAAGAACGCGGTCGTTTGTAGGTGAACAGAGAAACTGACTGCCACTCAGATTTCTTGCGGTACTTGAACGGGTCATAGTGGAGATGATTCCCTTGCTCAGTGTGTAAACTCAACGTCCTCTTTGGGAAAGTGGATCCAAACCTCCAGTTTGAATCCCCAGCACAGTTTGAGGCTCAGTTGATCCTTCCAGGGAGTGAAGGTCCGAAAGTTCCAGTTTGCAGGATAACTTCCTGCCGAGAGGCAAAGACAAAAAAAAAAAAATTCTTTTAACTCAGGTTGACAAGAACTCAGTCTTACTCAGCAAAAACTCAGCTTGGCTAGAGTACCCAAAACTGGCAAACACTCTGGCGTCAAAGTAGTGGCAGTCAGCAGCTTAAGAGCACTCCGTTAACGAGGTAACCATCATCAGGTGTGTGAGGAGGCGGACCAGAACCAGCCGCCTCCTGTTGGAGGAAGGGAGACAAACACAAAAAACAAACACACAGACTGGAGCCCTGACACTAACAATTCAAACGTTTTCGTCTTCATGAACCTTAGCAAAGGTTAAAGGTAGTTCAAAGACATTTTTCTTTTGGATATTGTATGCATTTATTAACTTTACCAAATCATATATTTTAGCTAACCATTTAAATGTGATTAACACGTCATAAACTTTAACATTAATAAAAAGTTTACTACTACATTTATTTGTTTCTTTTTAGTGTTTTATGTCTCATTCAAAGAGCTTCCTCATGGTTTTGGAGTTAAAGGATGACAGATTGTGGTGAAAACAATCACAGGGCTATTAAGTTTAACATTCACTGCCCATTATTCCATCTTCTAAGCAGTTTGGGTCAGTGTCATTTGTGCAGTTCTTCAAGGTCATGAAATAGAGCTGTTTTGTTTATTTCTAGTTTCATTCCTGTGTTCAGCCAATTTATGTTAGTGTTGCCTATGAATACACATCAAGACTCGTCTTTTTTAAGGTACTTCTTCTAGATACTGTTAAAATGTTGGTAATGCAAATGATAAAAAACAATTTAAAAGGTTTTCCACATATAATGTGATATTCACATGTGCAGTTCCAAAGACACACCAACATGTCTTAGAGAAATACAAATGAAACTGAACTTCTTGAACCTCCTTTCAAGGATAAATGAAAGCACCAGGTTGATCAACTAGAAACACTTTTAAAATGGAGAGAAAGGAAACAAAGATGGACTCCCACACTTTTTTCCATTTGGTGATGGCATGTGTGCAGTTGAGTCAATAATCATTTAGTAGAGGTAGGTGGGCAGAAAGTGATTTTGATGTATTATGACAGGGAATGAATAAAGTGGCGCAATGTGAAATATAATGTAATGTTCTTAGAGAGGCTCTAACTACAGTTTATAGTAGGAAAAAAAAAGTGAAATTAGACCTGTTTTTCAAATTGAAGAAAATCACAATCAAAGCTTGTTTGCAGAGCCCTCTTAAAAGATGGTTTAAAGAAAAGTATCTGAAACAAGAGATATTTGAAAAGAGGATAATTTGTGGTCAATCTTGGTTTGTTCTATATAAAATAAAAGATAACTGAAATTGATAATACCTGTCCATGAATATATTAGAAACTCCATGTGAGTGCTGAATGGTGGGAAACAACTAAGAGGTGTGTCCTGACCAGATGACAGACTTGGAGGAAATAAGGCATCACTTATTGATTTATTAATGATTAAAATAATAGGAGAATCCAATAAGTAAGCATGAGGAGAATCCAGCTCTATTGCCACCAAGGAGGAACTCGTAGACATTGGAATATCAGCTGCACAGCAATAACAAAAAAAAAGGTTAGTCAGTGTCAGGCGTCTTTTCCTTTCAGGTTTACAGTACTTTAACATATCTGTGACTGGCTGTAGCACTCTGACAAAACAGCAACCAGACAAGGCAGACCAATCCCAGATATGAGCATTTTGCTACTCTTTGGGACCAGCAGCACAAAATAAACCCCAAAAGATCATTTCAGACTAGAAAGACAAGGCACATTCCCTTTTTTTCCTTTTTTGATTCATTATTTAGAATATTTGTTTCTCTTCAACAAAACTTTTTTTTCTAATCATATTTTTGAAGTGATATGACTGACTGACACAATATTTGTACCAAATCGTTATACTAGACAGGACAGATGATGAAGATTTTCTTTTATCCAATTTTCATGCATTAACTATTTTAATAATCTTTTATAATGAAGAAAATCATAAAAGCAAAATAATTTAGCATCAGTCATTAAGCAAACAACTATTGCTGCTGCCACTGGTTTTCCTAAGTTACGTCACATCTCTAGCTAAGCCAGCAGTTAAAGGATCAGAGTCAGTAATCCCATTTTAACCAGAGGAGGGCGCCAAAGATTCTAAGATTTTAACAAATACAATGTAGATAGCATTAATAAACAGCTATATAGTTTAGTAGGAAAATGATTTAGGGGAGAGTAGTCCTTTAAAAAACTTAAAAATCTTAATTAAATAAATAATCTTGATGATAGTTTTAAAATATTTCCGTCGTCTGAAATTCTCCCCATGTGTCACAGATAGACAGTAATGTGACTTTATTGTCTGTTAGAGTTATCAGCCAGCTTCAAATCTGGAACATCGATCAGATACACCTTCAAGGAGCCGAACAAGATGTCCAGAAACGGCAGCGCACTGCCGTCCTCCATCCACTCCGACACGACGCTCAGAGGGGAGAACATCTCTTTAAGTTTCAGGACGGCACAAAGTCCAGCTCTGCTACTTTACGTCAGCTCCTACTACAGCGAGTACATGGCTGTGCTCATCAACAAGCATGGTGAGAAACTTTGTTTCCATATCTCATTCATGTCTAAAGAATGTTTCTCTTTAGATTCCTTTTTAACCAAAACTGATTTTCTGAATTGCTCGGCTTTAGTCTTAACTTCTCTCAGTTTGGCTTCCTCCTTCCCTTTGATCCCACTCAACTTTCCTCATCTATTTTAATGTCTTCCATGTCATTCCTGTAAAAATCGTCCAGATCTTCTCTCCATCTGGGTTTACCTCATTAACCCCTGCTGGGTTTCATCAGTACAGCTTCACCAGCTGTTAAGTTGTGCTTTTATCCCTGCGACAAAATAAACAGGGCTGCAGAAATGGGACTTTCTTCAAGCTGCTAATAGGTGATAGATCAGGGGAAATGCTTAATAAAACAACAAACTTTGTTGGATAATTAAGTTGTGCCTTTTAAGAGTGGAAGTAGTAAAACTTTGAACTTAGAATCACATTTTCAGTATCCAGGAGTCTCAGCAAATTGGTCCTTTTACCTAGATTAGCTTTAAATAGATTCCTTCCCTGTTCATAATGACTCAGAAAGCTAATGGCAAGCAGGGCATTAAGGTTGTGCGCAGGCCGTGAATTTGTCAGGTAAAAGCTCTTAAAATTAAGTGTCCACATAAATCCTTACGAGTAAAATCCTCCTGTTCTACATTAGAAACTCCTTAGACTCCAACACAAAAGATTTCTCATCTTTTAAAAAACAAAAAATACATGTGAATGTCTTGAGTTTTCTTCAAGCTTAATCTCGTTTTCTTATAGGTACAGTTATAATAAAGCGAAAGTTTTGGTTGATTAGACTTTTTTTTTTTTTTATACTCCCCCCTGCAATTTTGTTCCACTAATTGAAATGTCTTTAAATACACATTAAGATGGATTCAACACACTGTAGTAAACAGATAAATGGAGGCAGAAGATGTCTTTCAGTCACCAATGCACTCATTCAGCGACACACAGGAGCTCTTAAAGCTGGACACCATTTCATTCACAACACCTGTCCCATCAACCAGGAATCAGAATCAGAAATACTTTAATAATCCCAGAGAGAAATTACCTTCTTTACATGACTCCATATGTAATAGGGTTACTATAGGACCAGTTTGATAGAACACAACTTTTGGAAAAGACCCCTGCTATAAACCTTACAAAATGTTTCCACTGAGTTTACTTTTAAAGCTCCAAATATTACGAAAATTAATTAGACTTAAAGTTGTCTGATAAAAAAGGAATTACCCAGTAATCCACTTAGTATGAAGAGCTTTATGGACTCAGATACTGATTCATCACTGAGGTGAAAAAGGCCTCTTCAAACAGAAGTGAAAAGATTAAGAAGATATTTTCACCAAGAGAAAGGTAAAAGTTTAAACGTTGGGGAGGAAAAAAAACAAACTTTCTTTTTGTTCAGATAAGCTGGAGGTGAGATACAAACTGGAAGGCAACCGAGACGCTGAAGTGCTGAGAAGCAGCAGCGGGAGGAATCTGGCTGATGGACAGCTGCACAGCATCACTATCAGCAGACGGACACACACGGTGTCTGTGCAGGTATGCGTGCTCGCAGGAACAGCAAAAACAAATCATGCTTACCTATCATAGATCATGGTCAGAGGATGAAACTCTTTTGGAAAGGGTTTAAAAAAAAAAGCTTAAGACTAAAGATATTTTTGATGCAACAAAAACTGACTTTTGACTAAACATCACCATAGACACAGTTAAAGGGACACTATGCAACATTTTTCAGGTAATTAATGTGTTCCATAACGTTATGG